CCTCACACAGCCACGCACGGGACCTCGGGACCCTCACACGGCCACGCACGGGACCTCGGGACCCTCACACGGCCACGCACGGGACCTCGGGACCCTCACAGAGCCAAGGAAGCCATGGGCTGGGCCCTGGATGCATGGGGAGGCAGGGCTGGAAACCCCCGAGGACTCAACAGGACCCTCGGAGGGGCACAAATTCCTGACCCGAATGTGGCCATGGTCACACAGCGAACATGCATCAGACTGCACTCCCAAATACATGTATTGCGGGGCCAGCACCATGGCACAGCATGCTAGCTCCCAGCCTGTGGGGCCCGCATCCCATATGGGTTCACGTCCCAGCTGCTCTGCCTCCAATCCAGCTCCCTGCTTATGGTTTAGGAAGGTAGTGCAGGATGAGCCAGGTCCCTGGGCCCTGCACCCATGTGGGAGACCCCGAGGGGATTCCAGGCTCTCGACTTCACACGGCCCAGATTCGGCCACTGCAGCCATTTGAGGAGTGAACCGCAGGTGGAAGATCTCTCTCTGTAATTCTTTCAAGCAAAAGTCAAGTGAGTTTATAAACACACCCAGGTGCCCGCTAACGCAGGTGAGTCACAGGCTCGGCACTGTGGGCGCCACACCGCGACTCCACAGCGCCAGATTCCACCCACCACAGCCGGACACGTGGCCACTGTGCTTGTGCGGGACACAGACTGCACGGTGTGCCAGCACGCTGGGATCTGTCAGGTGCTGCTCGCATTCTAGCACACCCTCGGGCCACAGGCGAGCCCGACGCAGTGACAGAAGGACCTGGCCACCCATGGGCACCAAGGAGTACAACGTAGCCCTCCAACAGCCAGCTTCCTCTGGAAGTGTCAGCATGGCACCCAACAGAGCCTTCCCCGAAAGGCAGATCCAGACTTCTCCTGCCTCCCCCAGAAACCTTCAGGGGATCCCCAACTCCCAATTACCAAAGCTGTTCCATGCACTTTCCCATCTAATCTCACATTCTGGAAGCAGCTCTGTGGTATAAGGGGTTAAACGCCACTCGCCGTGCTCCACTTCTGACCCAGTTCCTGGCCAGCGCGCCTAGAGTGGAGCAGCAGGTGCAGCCTGAGCGAGGCATGCCCCGAACTCCCCAACGCCCTCAGCCCCTGCTATGCCAACATGTGAAAACACCCTGAGCACCCCACCCAAGACACACACCGCATCAGAGACCCCAGGGAGGTCCTGAGTCTGGCCCGGCTGGCTTCCAAACCAATCTCCTGCTATTTCACACCAACAGGTAATCCCTTAACGCCTTCTTCGCATGACAGCTTGCCACTACTCCCTGCTCTCGGGGCATGGGGCCTTGCCCACCTCCAGAGCCTGCACCCCACAGGGACCACTCCCCTCTGGGGCATCTGGGCTCGGGCCTCAATCTCGCGCAGCGGGCAGCATTGAGAAGCCGTGACCCCTCGTCCGGCCCTCACGTGCAGCGAGGCCGGGCACAGCATCACGCCCTCCACTTCCTGAGCAGCCAGGCAGCGGGACAGAAGCGACAAGAACTGAGTGTCTCAGCGAGAACTCTGTCAACGTGCAGCTCTCAGGAGGGACACGGCCACGTCCCCAGGCACCAGCTGGACCCCAGGCTCTCCTGTCTCACCAAGAAAACGTCCTTCCCATCAGGGAAAGCCAGACGAAGCTCCTGGCCTCAGGCTGGATCCGGCCCAGCACCTGCTGCCACGCGGGGAAGAGCTCTCTCCCCGTTCCCCTCCCATTCTGCGTGCACAGGCACCAAGGGGTGCTCCGGAGCCACCCCTCGGACCCGCCAGGTCTCGAGCAACACCCGGGGGACACAAGGCCCGGGGAGGCACGATCTGGCCCTGAGCCCAGCCAGAGCTGGCACAGGCTCCTAAGCACGGAATTACTCTAAGCAAACGTCACGCAACCCAACACGGTGCCCAGACCGCCCCTGCCGGCCAACACCACCGGAAGGGACAGAGCGGCACCAGGTCCGAGCCACACGCCCTCCCGCCGGCTGATCTGCTCTCCCAGTCGCTGTTGAAGTGACTCTGGCAGGAAAACAAGAAGACAGGAAGGCCTCGCTCCCCCGCCACCCGTGACTGTGGGCAGGCAGGCTGCTGGCCGTGGCCCGGCTCTGGCACAGGACGCTGTGGTAAGGTGAGAAGGCTAATCTGCTCCCAAGGACTCAGCACAGCCCAGCTCCAGGGCAACCATGTCCACACCGCTGCAAGCAGCTAAGCGCCTTCTAGAACCTTCCCTGCTCAAGGTGACCACTCCCCCGGTGTTGTAGAAACCAATGCTACCCTGCTGAACAGGCACCGCAAATCACCCCTAAACTCCCACGTTTAGACGCACCACAAGATTCTGTGGCAAAGCGCTTTCTGCTCCTCACAGACTCACTCAACAGTGTACGAGTGAGTTATTCCTAAAAACACAAAGATGACCACCACTAAAACACGGGGACAGGGAGCTAAAACAAGAGCAGAGGTCCCAGGCAGCGACCAGCCCCAGCTGCTCCGAACGGTCCCTCGCAGCCCACAGCAGGGACACTGCAGAGACAAAGCAGGCAGGGAGGCCAGTCCAGCTTGAGCCTACGGGACACAACGGCGGCCACACAGACCAGCAGGACGGCCCCTCCAAGCCGCCAGCACCCAAAAGAAAAAGTCCAGAAGAGAGATGGGAAAAGGCTGGAGGACAGACGGCCGCCGCTGACCCTGGCACAGCGACACAGTCTTTCCTATCGACTGCACTGAGATCCTCCAAATTTGTAAGCTTAAAAATTCCCAAGGGGCGGTGTGATGGCTCAACCAGTAAATACCCTGCTACAAGTGCAGGATCCCACACCGCGCCGGTTCACGTCCCAGAGGCCCCGCTACCTGTCCAGCTCCCTACTGCGGCCCGGGAAAGCAGTCAAGGACGGCCCAAAAGCTTTGGGACCCTGCACCCGTGTGGGAGACCTGCAGGAGAGCTCCTGGCTCCTGGTTTCAGATCAGCTCAACTCTGGCTGTTGCAGCCACTTGGGGAGTGAACCAGCAGGTGGAAAATCTTTCTGTCTCTCCTGCCATAAATAAAAATAAATAAATCTAAAACCAAACCAACAACCTCGAATTAAACTGGTTTACAGCTGCCCCCCCAGAGCAGGGAGGTCTCTTCTCCCGGCACAGTGAGCAGAGCTGGGCATGCGGCCTCAGCCCCCTCGCCCAGTGACCAGGCCCTGCTCTCCAGCTCTCTCCGGCCGCCGCACCGCGAGTCCAGCACTGCTGTAGCAAAGGGCCCACCAGCCCCACCGACCCCACTGAAGGCCTGCTAACGACCCTGGCACGCTGCCTGCCCAGTACCTGCGTGCACCTGCGCTCACCACCACACATCCTAAAACACGTCCAGGAGGGGCCGAGAGGGGCCTGTGTCTGACAGCAGTATGGAGCAGGGCCCGGCAATGCGGTAGGACAGTCCCCAGCAGGAGGTGGCCACAGGCAGTCAGGAGCTCCCTGGGCGAACAAGGACAGTCCCGAAGGATGCGCAGACACGGCAGCACCACGTGACTCCAACACCCGTGGGAAGACACGAGGGAGAACAACAACCAAGACAAGTGCAGCAGTCCACACCAGGGTCAGCGGTCACCGTGCCCCCTGGCCACCCAGCCCAGGGTGCGGGGGCAGGGCACGTGTCCACACCAGGGTCAGCGGTCACTGTGTCCAGACCTGAGGTCAGTGGTCACTTCTCAGGTTCACCAGGAAGCAAAGCGCTGAGAAGTCTCCAAGAACCAGCGGCCCAGCCTAAGCCCAGCTGGCCGTGCACACAGCCTGCCAGCTCCCCCAGGGCGTCGGTCCTCCCGCCTGCCCAGCCTGGATGGCCCCGGCCAGGCCTCCTCCTGCCACAGCGCTCTCTCTTCACTTCAGTCTTGCTCTGGAGACTACTGTTCTCACCAGAATAAAAGCAATTGTTCTAGAAGGACTGCCCGACGGATAACTCTGCCCACCTGGAGGTGGTGCCGCCCCAGGGTCACCCTGCTGGTGCCCAGCTCTCCAGCGTGCTGAGCCCACGGGTTTTCCTCACAACAGGCCGTGGCCAAAGTGGGATGGTGTCACAGAGCCCACGCCCGGAGTGGCTGCCCACGGGGGTCTCCCCGCTGACCCACTGTCCAGGCCCCGCTCACAGCATCCTGGCTGGACCACTCCTGGCGGCCTCCACACTACAAGATGCACCTGGGGAGCGAAGGCCCACCAGGACGCGACTCCAGACCCCGGACCTGCTGGCCGGCGCCCCCAGCCCCTGCACCCCTGCCTCACAGCCCCCTGCCCCACTCCTCACCCATTGCTCCGGGACCACAGCCAGAGTCCCACATCTGCCTGCCGTCTGCATTGATTTCCCAGACCCACAGCTGCGCACAGCCCCGCACAGCCCCACAGCCCCCGGCCCCATAGTCCCGCACAGACCCCGGCCCCACAGCCTGGACAGCCCCGCACAGCCCCACAGCCCCCGGCCCCATAGTCCCGCACAGACCCCGGCCCCACAGCCTGGACAGCCCCGCACAGCCCCACAGCCCCCGGCCCCATAGTCCCGCACAGACCCCGGCCCCACAGCCTGGACAGCCCCGCACAGCCCCACAGCCCCCGGCCCCATAGTCCCGCACAGACCCCGGCCCCACAGCCTGGACAGCCCCGCACAGCCCCACAGCCCCCGGCCCCATAGTCCCGCACAGACCCCGGCCCCATAGCCTCCGCACGGCCCCGCACAGCCCCACAGCCCCCGGCCCCATAGTCCCGCACAGACCCCGGCCCCACAGCCTGGACAGCCCCGCACAGCCCCACAGCCCCCGGCTCCATAGTCCCGCACAGACCCCGGCCCCATAGCCTCCGCACGGCCCCGCACGGCCCCCGACTCCGCACGGCCCCGACCCACAGTCTCCGCACAGCCCCGCACGGCCCCGCACAGCCCCGGGCCCCACAGCCTGCGCACGGCCCCCACTCCGCACGGCCCCGCACGGCCCCGCACAGCCCACGGCCCCGACCCACCTAGGCCATAAGCCTTAGCGCAGATCCACTGCAGGTTGGCGGCGATCTTGGCCCGCGCCGAGTCGTAGCGGTCCAGGGGCACCAGGTCCGCGGCGTCGGGCGGAACCTCCATCCTCCTGCAGCCCTCGGCCGGGCGGCCGCAAGCGTCCACCATCCGCACACAAAGGGCAGCGCCGGCCCGGCCCGGCCGCAACAAAGGCGCCGCCGCCCCGCAGCGGGACCGACGAGCCGCGCCGCCCGCCGCCGGGAGCCGGGAGCGGGAGGGCGGCCCGGCCGAGCCTCCCTCACAGCCGCATGCCGCGACGCCGGGCCGGGCGAGCAGGGCGGGCGCAGGACGCGGCCCGGCGAGGAGCGGGCGGCCGGGGCGGGCGGGCCGGGGCGCCGGGCGGCGGGAGGCGCGTGCGCGGCCCCGCGGCGGCCAACGGCGGGCGGGCGCGCGCGCGGCCCGGCCCCGCGCAGGCGCAGAGCGCGCCGCCCGCGCCCGCCGCCCTCTGCGCAGGCGCGCTGGGCTCCGCCCGCCGCCCCGCGCGCCGCGCGTGCCCCGGGCCTGGCCGGCAGCGACCGTGGTGGGCGAGCGTGCTTCGCGGGGCTTGGCGCTGGGCCCTCGCCGGGCCGCGGCCACCGGCGCCCGGGGCAGCACCCCGCCAGCCCCGGGGGCATCCTCCGCGGCCCCGGGCGGCGGGGAGGCCGGCAGTGAGCGCCCCTTGCGAGATCCAGAAGTCCGAGGCGGCAGGGAGCGTGGGAACGAGGCGGGGGGCTCGCGCGCAGGAGGGCAGCCCCGGCCCCGGCGTGGATCCTAATGGGTGCTGGTCGCCGCCCAACCCTGGCATGGACCCTAATGGGTGCTGGTTACAGTCCGGACCCTGGCATAGACCCTCATGGATGCTGGTCGCTACCCTTGGCCCCAGTGTGGAGTTTCGCTGGTGCTCGTTGCTGCCCCAGCCCCAGCATGGAGCCTCATGGGTGCTGGTCGCAGCCCTGGCGTGGACTCTCATGGGGGCTGGTCGCCACCCCAGGCTCTGGCATGGACCCTCACGGGTGCGGGTGCTGGCTGCCACCCTGGCCCCGGTGTGTACCCTCATGGGTGCTGGTCACAGCCCCAAGCCCCAGCGTGGCCCCTCCTGGGTGCTGATGCCGGCCACCGCCCGGGCCCCGGCATGGACCCTCATGGCTACTAATGCTGGCCACCACCCCGGCCCCGGCATGGACCCTCACGGGTGCTGGTGCTGGCCGCCGCCCCGGCCTGAGCGTGGACCCTCATGGGTGCTGGTCACAGTCCCAAGCCCCGGCATGGACCCTCATGGGTGCTGGTCACTGCCCCCGGGCCCTGGTGTGGGGGCTTTCTCTCGCTGTCGCTGTTCTCTGATAAGGTGGTTCCCAGTGTAGACCCCTGCGAATGGGGCAGGGCTGGCTGAGCTCTGGCGAAGGTCTGCGTGTGTGCCTGGGCTATCTTAGTTTGTGCAGAGTGGTTGTTGGCTTCGGAAGGCCTCTGGGGTTTATTGTGGTTGTTTTTTTTTTTTTTTTAAAGTAAAGAATTGGTTACTTGGAGGTCAGTTAATGCTGCAGCCTCGTCTCCCACAGGCCTGACAGGGTGTGCCTCACTTCAGGTGGTGCTGGATCCCTCAGACCCTGCAAGCCACGAGCAAGGAGTACAGGTGTGCAAAGCACCATGCCCAGTGCTCCCCAACAAGTTGAGTGGAGAGGACAGGGAGGGGGAGCAGGGGAGGGTGCCGGCTGAACAGGGGTGGGGTTGGGTGCTCAGCCGTGGGAGGGAAGTGTGTCACTGCACTGTGTGACCCCACAAGTGGAGGGGGTGGCAGAGATCAAGGTGGGTGTGTGGGCCCAGTCCCCATTATGGCACACACGGGAAGCAGAGTGTCCGCTTGTGACCAAGACCAGGGGAGAAGCCGGCCGGGGAGAGCTCTGCAGGAATGCAGGGGTTCCTGGTGCTGCTGGGCCCCATCCGAGGAGGTGGGGGACCTGGGCCCGACGTCCTAGGGGCTTAGAGAACAAACAGAGGAGCAGTGGTTGTGGTCCGCAGGTTCAGCCACCACCTATGGGACCTGCATCCCATGTGAGCGCCAGTTTGAGTCCCAGCTGCTGCACTTCCCCCAAGCCTCCATGCTAACGGAGAAGGTGGCCCAGGTGCCCCCAGTGATGGGAGCTCTGTCTCTCCTCTCCATGAATCTGCCTTTCAGAGAAAAATAAACCCTAACAAAGAGGAGGACTCGTGTTGACAGTGCCACCTGGGGCAGGTGTTTGGTGTCACTGCCTGGGCCGCTGCGTCCTGTATCACAGGACCGGCTGACATCCCTCCAAGCATCAAGGACACCCCAGCATTGCTGCAGCTGCACAGTAACAAGGTGCCAGGCTGCTCACACGCTTCTCTGGGTGTGCCCATGCAGGCCCGGGGCATGCACACCACCTCCCCAGATGTCCTTCCCACTACCCAGTGCCTACCCAAGCAGGCATTTATGGGAACCCATAGCTGCCTCGTGTTTTGGGAAGTAAACGTACCATTTTTCTGCTGGCGGCTCTGGTTCCCCAAACCCAGCACTTGCCCAGTGGCTCCCCTGAGCTGCAGCAGGCAGTCTCAGCAACACCCAGCCCCAGCAGTGACCCTAGCAGCCACTATCCTCATCCCAGTCACACCAGTCTGTCCTTCCTGATTGGACCCGTGAAGCTAGCCCTGAGCTATGAACATCTAGGATAAAGCAGGGGGACCATGGAGGGGGTTCAGCCCCGCTGTCCTCATACCAGCTGTGTACACTGTCACACAGCTGCCACCACAAAGCTCAGCAGCCACTGCCCAGGGGCAACACCCACACCTGAACCGTGGCAGCAAGAAAAACCAGTGCAAGTTATTCATCACCTGCAGCCAATTCCCAGGTAGCCCCACACAGGAAGGCCCCCAGAGGGACCGACACCCCAAAAACAATGCAGAATAACATGGTGCCTACCTGCCCTTTCTGAAAACCAACCAGTGCACAGAGTCGCAAGCTGGACCCAGGCAGGCCAGATGGACGCAGGCTCTTGGCAATGGCTTGGTGGGCCCAGCTTGCAGGCAGCACACTCCTGAGAACTTTGAGCAGGACCATGAGAGAGAGACGACAACTTGCAGCAAGAGCACGGGATGGCCTTGACAGGCCGCTACCAGTGGGCAGCACACAGACCTGCAGCACTGCAACACTTGCCCCATTTGTTCCCTTCCCTCCCGGGGGCCGCTCCCATGTGAAACATGGGGTGCTGGCATTGAGGATCTACCCACAGAGCAAGGAGCTCAAAACAGCCCCTTGGGGCTCACAGCCTGAGCAGGCAGCACTTGAGACGCACTCCCCAACTCCTGATCTCAGTGCCTGCAGGTCCTGACTGCCCCTGCCTCGATGGGCCCAGCTGTAGACCCAGCGTGTAGATGCCTGGCTGCCGGCTCGCAGCTCACGGGGCAGAGTGTTTTAATGACAGCTTCATCCGGAGAGGTTAGGAAGCCGTGGACGCAGCTGGTTGGGAAGATGAGGAATACCATTGCTTGTGGCCGAGATGGCAGCACCACTGTTATTGGAACGGACTTGGCATGGAGTGGGAGTCTGGCACAACAGCCAACATTACAGCTGCATCCCTGCTGGGGTGCCTGAGCTGAATCCCAGATGCCTGGGCACACACAGGTGGGACGCAGCAGGTCCTGGAAACCCTACCTGCCAGCTGGGGAGCGGCAGGAGTGCCCGGGGCCAGTGTGGATGCTCCTGGGGGGGGCCAGGGAGCTGGACATGGTAGGGGGCTCTGCTAAAACGGAGCCAAGCTGGGCTCCTGGCAAAGCCAACTTGCAGGGACACCCCAACATACCATAAACAGTATGGGCAGCACTGAGCCCCACCACTTCCTCTGTTCCCGCCTTTCCACTAAGCCCGCAGGCTGGGCTGGGGTGGAGCCAGGAGCTGGACCGGCAGTGGTGCAGCTTGTCAACCAGAGCCACCTCCCAGCACAGGCTCCCTGGGAAATAGGAGGGGCTTGCTGGAAGTCAGCCTCCTCCCAGGTGGGGCCAGGGTGCTCCCGCTAATACTTCCTTTATCCTTGGCAGTAGAACTTGAAAAGGCAGGAGTCTAACAGCCTGCACAACCACGTCCACACTAGCAGTATATCCATGCATCCTACAGTAATCACCAATGGCCACATGCTGGGCACCAAGGCCTGGGGGCTGGGAGCTCTCCCTTTCTGGTAGAACAGCACTACCACCGACAGCCACACAGGGCAGGCTGGGCACCTTTTCCCTGGGACTGCACTACCACTGACAGCCACACAGGGCAGGCTGGGCACCTTTCCCATAGGACTGCACTACCACTGACAGCCACACGGGGCAGGCCGGGCACCTTTCCCCTGGGACTGCACTATCACTGACAGCCACACGGGGCAGGCTGGGCACCTTTTCCCTGGGACTGCACTACCACCGACAGGCACACGGGGCAGGCCGGGCACCTTTCCCATAGGACTGCACTACCACCGACAGCCACACGGGGCAGGCCAGACACCTTTCCCATAGGACTGCACTACCACCCACGGCCACATGGGGCAGGCCAGGCACCTTTCCCCTGGGACTGCACTACCACCCGGCACACGGGGCAGGCTGGGCACCTTTCCCCTGGGACTGCACTACCACCCACGGCCACACGGGGCAGGCCAGGCACCTTTCCCATAGGACTGCACTACCACCCACGGCCACATGGGGCAGGCCAGGCACCTTTCCCCTGGGACTGCACTACCACCGACAGCCACACGGGGCAGGCTGGGCACCTTTCCCCTGGGCCACACGGGGCAGGCCAGGCACCTTTCCCGTAGGACTGCACTACCACCGACAGCCACACGGGGCAGGCTAGGCACCTTTCCTGTGGAATCTGTGCCTTGAGCCACAGGGCCCTGACTCGAGGGGACCCCATGGCACCAGCTTGGCCAGCGCCACCAGCACAACCTGGCCCAGTAGGAGACACAGCAGAGCTGGTTCCTAAGAGGAAGCTGGGGTGGAGGGGCCTGCACCCCCCCTCAGCGCCTGAACCCAGGGCTGTGCTGTGGAGCCCACCACAGAACACAGCAGGGACTGGGGGAAGAGGTGGAAAGAACTGGAAATGCGTCAGGAGCCGGAGCCTGGGACCCGACAGGCCAGCTGGGACATGGGCTGAGGCTTACCCACAGGGAGGCCCACACACGGAGGCAGTACAGGAGGTGACACCAGAGCTGACTCAGCCGGACTCCAGTCACACTCGTGCTGCACGCGGCCGGGCACACGGGGTCCATGTGCTGAGCAAAGGCTCTCAGCAGGGAGGTCTGGGCTTCGGGCAGCAGGCCAGGACGCCCCCCGCCCCCCCTCCAACCCACGGACATGCTCGCACAGCCCGGGCAGCAGCAGGGCCGAGGACACCTGGGCCGGGCTTGCCGCTGGTCCCTCCCAGCCCTCACCAGGGAGGGAGCCACAAGCTCTGAGTCTGCCTCTCCCTGTAACTGACTTTCAAATACATAAAAATAAAATCTAAAAATCGGAGAGGAAATGCCGGAGCGTAGCCAATCCGGGGCCGTGCCAGACGCCATGATGTTCACTCACCCTGAGAGGCACCTTGCTTTATTCCCAGATTTACTTGGAAGGATTAGAGATCTTCCACCTGCTGGTTCACTCCTCAGATGGCCAAAACAGCAAGGCTGTCCTAGCCCAAGCCTGGAGCCAGGCCCTCCACCCAGGTGCGGGGGCCCAAGGACTTGGCCATCCTCCACTTTCCTAGGCCATGGGCCGGAGCTGGGTCTGAAGTGGAGCAGCCAAGGGACCCAATATGGTAGCCTAGTGGCCAAGGTCCTCACCTAACACATGCCAGGATCCCATATGGACGCCAGTTTGTATCCAGGCGGCCCCACTTCCCACCCAGCTCCCTGCCTGTGGCGTGGAAAAGCAGTGGAGGACGGCCCAAAGCCTTGGGACCCTGCACTGCATGGGAGACCTGGAAGAGGCTCCTGGCTTCAGACTGGCTCAGCCCTGGCCATTGCAGTCACTGGGGATTGAATCAATACAAGATCTTTCTTCTCTTGCCTTCTCTCTGTAAATCTGACATTCCAATAAAAATAAATAAACCTTAAAAAAAAAAAAAAGGGAGCAGCCAGACATGAACCTGCACCCATCTGGGATGTCAGCGTCACAGGGCAACTTAACACATTATACCCACCAATTTACAAAGCAGGTCTCGAGGACCAAACAAGCCCTGGGTGTCAGCACAGGACATTCCTTAATGCCGCCACACTCAGCTCCGATGGGGCAGCCCTCTGCGAAGGGCCCCTGCCCCTGGGCACGCCAGGTCACCCAGACAGGCCCTGGAAGGGAGCTCTGACCTGGAGGAAGCCTGCAGGCGACACGGGCACCTGTGACCGGGCCGCCCCGGGACCAGGGCCGGCTCCCAGCAGCCCCACGGCCCGTCCCAAGCCCCATGGGAGCCTGGGGAGGCCACAGAGGGTGTTGAGCGTGCGAACACCTTAGGAAAACAGGGTTCATTTATTAAAGAAGCGCCCACAGGGAGTGCTCTAGCCAAGTGAGCTGTCTGGCTGCCGTCTGGTGCAGGGGGCGGCTGGGGGCGCTGGCAGCCGGGCGCCGCCTACGTGCGGTTCAGCGTCTGGAAGACCCTGGAGATGTGCAGCATGACGGGGCCGGTCTCGGGGTCGTTCATCCACTGGGTGCTGTTGAGCGGGTTCTCCAGCATGTCTTCGAAAGCTGCCGGGACAGCGCAGTGATGGCAGCCCACCCCATCGCACAGGCGCAGTGCTGGGGCCCTGGGCGCACAGGTGTGCGGAAGCCAGCTGGCAACAGTGTTGGGAGCCGGCCGCCCTCAGCCTGCACCCCACGCCCACCCTGTGAAAACCACCTGATCCGAGAAAAACTTCAATACGAATTGTTGACAAAGAAATGAAACCCTTAGTGGCGGCGTGAAAAATACTCCGCAGCAGATCGCAGGGCCCACAGCCACACTGCAGACCCTGGACACGACAGCAGGCCCTAAGACTGTGGCTTAAAGTCCCTGCTGAGGGGCCCCCTGGAATGGGTGGCCCTTGGAGTTGGAGTCCCAGGGATGCTGGGCGCCTATAATGGGGGCTACTCTGCCAACAGGCCTGGAGCCTGGCTCCCCGTTTCCTCCCAGGAGAGGAGGAATGAATAGAACAAGTCGGTGACAATGAATGGACAAGCCACACACAGGGTCCTGCTGTTTCCCACAGTGCCCCACGGCCGTGGCCGCAGCGTGCTTGGTAACAGACTGACAGGGCGTGGTTCCTGGCCCAGTGCCCCGTCACCCATGTGGGAGACCCGGACTGAGTGTAATCCCGTTTTGGCCTGGCCCACATTGGTTGCTGGAGGACCGTGGGGAGCCGCCCAGCAGTGAGAGTCCATCTCCCCATCTCCCTGCTTCAGGAGGAGTAAACCACAGGACACAGAACCAACATCTGAGCCAGGAGGAGTTGGTTCAGCGCCACACCACACTGAGGAGTAACCAGAAAGCCAATGAAGGCACGCCCGGGAGACATGCACCCAGACCCTTGGCCCTCCTCCCGGCAGTCACACACCTTCAGACACACCTACAGTCACATACACACACACACACACCTACAGTGTCAGACACCTTCAGTCACACACACACACACCTATAGTGTCAGACACCTACAGTCACACACACACACACACACCTACAGTCACTCACACACACCTACAGTGTCAGACACCTTCAGTCACTCATATACACCTACAATGTCATACCTACAGTCACACACACACACACACCTACAGTCACACACACACACCTATAGTGTCAGACACCTACAGTCACACACACACACCTATAGTGTCAGACACCTACAGTCACACACACACACCTACAGTCACTCACACACACACCTACAGTCACTCACACACACACCTACAGTGTCAGACACCTTCAGTCACACACACACCTACAGTCACTCACACACACCTACAGTGTCAGACACCTTCAGTCACACACACACACACACACCTATAGTGTCAGACACCTACAGTCACACACACACACCCCTACAGTGTCAGACACCTACAGTCGCTCACACACACACCTACAGTGTCAGACACCTTCAGTCACACACACACACACCTACAGTCGCTCACACACACACCTACAGTGTCAGACACCTTCAGTCACACACACACACACCTATAGTGTCAGACACCTACAGTCACACACACACACACACACCTATAGTGTCAGACACCTACAGTCACACACATAACACACCTACCTACAGTGTCACACCTACACCCACATGCACACCTACACTCACACACATACACCTACAGTGTCACACCTACACTCACAAACACACACACCTATAGTGTCAGACACCTACAGTCACACACACACCTACAGTCACACACACACACACACACCCCTACAGTCACACACACATACCTACAGTGTCACACCTACAGCCACACACACACCTATAGTGTCAGGCACCTACAGTCACACACACACCTATAGTGTCAGACACCTACAGTCACATACACACCTACAGTCTCACACACACACACACACCTACAGTCACTCACACACACCTACAGTGTCACACCTACAGTCACACACACACACATACCTACAGTGTCAGACACCTTCAGTCACACACACATCTATAGAATGACACCTTCACAGACTCACACATTCATACACACCTACACTCACACTCAGGATGTTGAGTGCTCTGGCTTGCTTCATTCTGACCTTCAGCCACTACTCACACTCTATGTACACAGCTGCTAGTAAATTGGCACCCAAGGCCCCACGAGACATGTGCAAGCCACCCCTGCCCTCAGCATGCTCCAGGCTCCGTCTCCGGTCCCAAGAACCAGCCCCAGGACTGGCCCTGAGTCCTGGATTGGGGGCCCACTGCCCCAGCCACATCCAGGTCAGTGAGAGGACACCACGTACCCAGCAACGTCTTGGGGTTGGTCAGACCCAACTGCACCACGGGGTTGTCCAAGATGGCCTGAAAGAGGGGGCTCTCCGGGTCGATGCCCTGATCCAGCTCCTCAGGGGATGGCTTCCGGTCTCCCAGCAGCCACTCGCACTGCAAAGGCAGGAGTGTGGTGGCGTTGGCTCACTGCCTGTCACTGGCACCACTGTGGCTGCCAGGAGCTTCTGGAGCCCTGAGGGGACACAGACTCCTGGTGGCTGACAACACCACTTCTGGTACTTAATGTGAGCACCGGGGAAGCCCACCCAGAAAGATTCAGTCTGCCCCCTGCCCTCACCACCAAGCTCCTGTCACAGGTGTACCTGCACACCATGGCCACAGCACCCTCCCATCCCTCCATGGGCCACGCCATCACCATGGTGTGGCCTCCCACCCTCCATGGTCCACACCCTCCCCATGGCCACCATGGCCTCCCACCACTGAACATGCACCAAATGCCCAAGCCTAGAATAGCCTCAGCTCTGTAGGAGCCAGGACGGGTGTGGTGCAGTGAGCACAGCTGCACCCAGGTGGGACCCGGGCTCCAGCCAGAGCAGGCCAGTAGCTGGATTCCTGTTCGCAGCTGCAGCCCGCCCAGCGGGTGCAAGGGTCAGGGGCCCTTGCAGAGTGGCAGCGCCCAGCAGGTGCCAGGGTCAGGGGCCCTTGCAGAGCGGCAGCGCCCAGCAGGTGCCAGGGTCAGGGGCCCTTGCAGAGTGGCAGCGCCCAGCAGGTGCCAGGGTCAGGGGCCCTTGCAGAGCGGCCTCCCCGGGCCCGCACACAGGACTCACCGCGGCGCCCTGCTGGTTGTTGTTCACACGCAGAGCGTCCAGCACCTCCTTCTCGTCGAAGCCCATCTCCATGAGGGCCACGACAGCCTGCACAGGGGCACATGGCGGCGTCAGCAGCGGTGGGGAAGGGACAAGTCCCAGCCTGTCTCCACCGCACACGACAGCTGCCGAGGATGGGCTCAGCTGGCTGGCTCTCGGGGGCATCCACAGGGGACCATGGGCAACACCAGGCAGGCTGGGCCTGGAGGGGCTCCCTCCCAGCTCCTACAGCAAGCCCGCCTCAGCCACATGACAAAAGTTGAGCGACACGTACCCGAGCATCTGCCCGAAACTCCCGTTTCCTCCGAATCTTCTTGAAGATGTCTGTGAGCTCATCCCGGGCCTCCTCTTCCCCCGCGCTTGCCCCCGCAGCAGCCTCGGCTCCCGGCGAGGCACGGCCAGGGAGAGGTGCGTCCACAGTGGGGTCCTCGGCATGCTCAATCAGCCACTCCATGGCCTGAGGCACCGACATGCTGGAAAGGAGCACCACGGCCGTGCCACTGTACCACGCCGCCAGCTCACGGCCAGCACCGCCCTCTGAGCCGCCCAGGCCCCAGGGACCCTGCCCCCAGGCGCCTGCAGCTCAGCATGGAGCCCACGTCCCCGGGAGGCCTCATCCACAAAGGCAGCCGGCCCGTGGCCACCAGGGACGGTGCCCCCTTGCAAGGCTCAACACAGGCTAACAGGCAAAGCCAGGGCCCGGGGCAGGGCCACCGGCAAAGGGACACTTGCCACGAGGGCCCCCAAAGGACAGCCCCCCACTGAGAATTCAGAACGGTGACTGACAACACCTCAGAACCGGCAGGCAGGGACCGGCCACCAGGGAGGTGTCCGCAGGAGCCCTGCACCCTCAGAACCCCAGGAAATGAGTCCGAGCCGACGCACTGGTTCAGCCGGAGGGCCTTGGAGGCTCGGCTCTCGGGGAAGCCCATCTCCGTGAGCTGCCGCAGGGCTGTCTCGTCCAGGCGCTCCTCCTCGTCCTCATCCAGCATGGCTGTGGGCAGCGGCGGGCACGTGAGGCCCGAGTGCCCAGGTCGGAGCCCAGCCCACCGCGCCGGCATGCCCGCTCCTACCGTTGGCCTTCTTGAAGAGCTCCACGGCGTCCGGGCTCAGTGCCAGCAGCTTCCGTGCCACCTCGATGAGAGACACCAGGATCTTCCGCAGCTCCGTCTGAAACTGCGGGCACAGGCGACAGCTGCGTGTCCCGCTGGCCCCCGGGACCAGACCGCCGGGACAGGCGCGGCCAGCTGAGGCCAGAGGCCAGGCACTGGCTGGCGTGGTGTCGCGAGTGGGGTCTCTGACCACACCTGGCACATGAGGCAGCCAGTGCACGTGGCCAGAGACCCCCCACAGCAGGCCTGGTCACGCAGCGCTCAGTCTGGGGTGTGGGGGACCCCTGAGCCCTCATGTGATTAACTGCCTGGGAGCTGCCCACGACAGGATGGGACATCTCAAGCGGGGCCCACAAGCTCCATCCCTAACATGAGGTAGGCCCGCGGTCTGGGGGTCACCGGGCCCGAGGTCGCCACCTGCAGAGGTGTGCCCAGCGTAAGCCTCCACGAGCCCAGCCAGGCCAAAGGGAGAGCCCGGCCCAGCGGAGGGCAGGGGCCAGCACCTCCCCAGCACACGCTGTGTCTGCTTGCACACGCTGCAATGATTTCAAGCCTACACAGAAGCTGCAAGGACTTGGGGAGCAGGGCCCCAGATGCCCCTCGCAGCCCCCGGCCGGCGGGCACTCACGTCTCGTGGGCTGCTCTGGGCTGCCGCCCGGTCGGCACCGCACGAGGGCAACTTGGCTGTCGCTCGGAGTATGGCATCTTTGTCGGGAGCCTTCTGCTCCTGCTTCTTCTGCACAGGAAAGAGCAGAGCCAGCAATGAAGGCAGCACTTCCGGTCAGCCCCACCACCCTCTGGGGTTCTGGGGACGGCCGAGAAGGGCACAGCAGAGGCCGCGCGGGGCTGGACGAGAGCACAGGAGCCACAGAGCCCACACGTGGCCGTGGTCCCCTGCAAGGCAGCACAGAAACCACTTCCCACCAGCTTCCTACCCAAGCACACTTGGGGCCAACACCCAAGCTTCCGACCTGGGGGCTCCGGGTACCAGGGCCCAGGCTCCAGGGTCTGGGCTCCGGGCTCCAGGGCCAGGCTTCTGACCTGGGGGCTCCGGGTACCAGGCCCAGGCTCCAGGGTCTGGGCTCCGGGCTCCAGGGCCAGGCTTCTGACCTGGGGGCTCCGGGTACCAGGCCCAGGCTCCAGGGTCTGGGCTCCGGGCTCCAGGGCCAGGCTTCCGACCTGGGGGCTCCGGGTACCAGGCCCAGGCTCCAGGGTCTGGGCTCCGGGCTCCTGCCTGCAGCTAGGTGGTGCACATCTGAGGGAGAAGCGGAGGGTGGGAGACCTCCAAACAGGATCAAAGTAAGTCATGAGGACATTAGACAGGAGAGGAATTGAGCCCCCGGGGTGCGTGAATACCCTCAGGCCTGCACCAGGAGCCCACCCCAGCAGCACCGCAGAGGCCCAGGCTGCCCTCCAGCCTCTGCAGAGCAGCCTGAGCAGCCCAAGCTGGGGACTCGGGCTGGCAGAGCTCGCCCGCCGCTGCACCACTCCCACCAGGGTTGCTGAGTTGCACGCAAACAACTATGGGGTGCTCAGAGGAGGGGACAAGGACAGAACCGGCCACTGGACTGGACAACGCAGGGGTCTCCAGCAGAAGCATCGATCAAATAACAACAGGAAAACAAACGGAGGACAGGGACCCCCATCCCACCCTGCCACTACTCATGGCCTGGGAAAGACGGCCCCAGTACCGGGCGCTGCACCCAGCAGGAGGATGGCCCTGGCGCCGGGCGCTGCGCCCACCAGGAGACCCAGATGGGCTTCCGACGTCAGACCAGCCAGCCTCAGCCTGTGGCCACCTCTCTTTCTTTCTCTCTGCCGTTCAAATAAAATCCCATGCCTGCACCCCATGAGCACCAGTTTGTGTCCCAGCTGCTCCATTTCCCATCTAGTTCCCTGCTTGTGGACCGGGAAAGCAGTTGAGGACGGCCCAAAGCCTTGGGACCCTGCACCTGCGTGGGAGACCCGGAAGAGGCTCCTAGCTTCGGATCGGCTCAGCTCTGGCCGTTGCGCTCACTTGGGCAGTGAACCATCGGATGGAAGATCTTTCTGTTTCTCATCCTCTCTGTAATATCTGACTTTCCAATAAATATAAATAAACCTTAAAAAAAAAAAGTTGAAATCTATGCCTACAGGGATTCTTCCACCAGAGCTGCGTCTGGCCAGGCAGGACAGGGTGTGGCTCCCGGCTCTGCGGCTCGGGAGGCCGGGGCGTCGGGCCCGTCACCTCCTCGGCCCACCTGTCTTCAGGCCAGGCCCGGGCTCACCTGGCCGACGCAGGTCCCTGCAGCTGACCGGGAGGGACACAGCTCAGACTCCCTCCAATTTCAAGTTTGTGTTACACTGCTTATTGTGGGGGAAAAAACTGTGAATGGCTTTCAAATTTCTCTCTCCTAGGAGACATTTCCTCATAGCTCCATTTCCCAGTCTGCGAGGCTCCACATGCATGCAGAGCAAGGAGGCCGCGCTGGGCGCTGGGCGCTGGGCGCCGGGCGCCGGGGCAGACCCACAGGCACGGCAGTCTGGGCAAGCAGAGGTGGCAGCAGAGGACAGCCCAGCTGCACCTCAGCCCGCCCAGTCTTGCACACAAGCAGGGTCAGGCCCAGTGCTGGGCACAGCTGATGGGCAGGGCGGCTCGCCTGGGGCAACACCCCCAGCCAGGTGCAGCCTCAGATAAGCAGAGAACCCAGACTTACAAACGCCTGGAGAGGCCCTGCAACACTCCATTCCCAGCCAGGCCCTGGCCTAGCACCGCCCACACCTCTGCACCCCGCAGCACCAAGGAAGCCAGCTTGACTGAGTCTGGAAAAATGTGCTAAAGGAATTTCCCACGGACACCCGGGTCATACAGGGGACACAGTCCCACGGACACCCGGGTCAGCACAGGGGACACAGTCCCACGGACACCCGGGTCATACAGGGGACACAGTGCCATGGGCACACAGTGGAGGGGGGAAGGAGAGGGGAGGGGAGGGGCCTGAGTGCCCATGGCACCATGCTGCCCACCCACAGCCCCACTGGACAGCCCCAGATGCCCAGCTCGGCCCTGCAGGAGGCAGAGGACAGGCCAGCTACAGCCCCGGCACGTTTCCTGGAGCCCCGTCCCTGGGGGTGCTCCCACAGCCCTCTGAGCTCACCTTCTCCTCGGCCGAAACGTCAGCCATCTTGGGGAGCGGGGCTGGACTGCGTCTTCTGATGAACAGCAGCACATCTAAGAGAACCCGGCTGTCACCCACGCAGCCTCAGGCCACGGGCAGGACAGCTGGGCCACCAGAGGCAGACAGGGGCCCACGGCATCCACCCAGCCCTGTGGACAGCCAGGTTCCCTGGCAGGGCTGGCACGGGCTGCGGGCCACAACCAACCTGGGTCCTCAGGCAGCTGCAGCTCAGCCGACCGCCTTGCCGGGGTCTGAGGGTGGACTCCCGCCCGAGGCCCAGCAGCCCCTCCAGGCCCAGCATCCACGCCCACACACTCGCACTCGCTCCAGCATGGCTTTGCCGTGTGCAAGGACCGTGGATGCCAGAGCAGTGCCACGGGCATCCGGGCCGCAGGCGTGCCTGGGCCGGGTCTGCCCTCACCTCTGTCCCGGATGTTCTCCTCCGAGACGGTCTTGGTGTCGCTCAGCACCCTCTCGGAGGCGGCATGGATCAGCTTGTGGTGGGCGACGTTCTTGGGGTCCTCCAGGCTCCCCGGAGCACACTGGGAGAAAGGCAGAGCGGGGACCTCAGGGCAGAGAGCAGGTGCAGGACCAGGCCCCGACGGGGCAGCCTCCCCAGCAGAGATGGCACGGCACATGGGCATGGACCCACAGCCCCACAGCCCCACAGCCCCACAGCCCGAGCTGACGGCCCCACGGCCCGAGCTGACGGCCCCACAGCCCCACGGCCCGAGCTGACGGCCCAACGGCCCCACGGCCCCACAGCCCCACAGCCCCACAGCCCGAGCTGACGGCCCCACAGCCCCACGGCCCGAGCTGACGGCCCAACGGCCCCACGGCCCCACAGCCCCACAGCCCCACGGCCCGAGCTGACGGCCCCACGGCCCGAGCTGACGGCCCCACAGCCCCACGGCCCGAGCTGACGGCCCCACAGCCCCACGGCCCGAGCTGACGGCCCAACGGCCCCACGGCCCGAGCTGACGGCCCAACGGCCCCACGGCCCGAGCTGACGGCCCCACGGCCCCACGGCCCCACGGCCCGAGCTGACGGCCCCACGGCCCGAGCTGACGGCCCCACAGCCCCACGGCCCGAGCTGACGGCCCCACGGCCCCACGGCCCCACAGCCCCACGGCCCGAGCTGACGGCCGCACAGCCCCACGGCCCGAGCTGACAGGCCAATCTCCCTGTCACGGAGGCCCGGGGCAGTCGGAGCCTTGCTGCCCATCCCACTGGCAAGCAGCCGCGACCTTCTTGGGGTCTGGAAGGATCTCCCAAGCAGTGTTCAGCACTTTATTTTTTAAAAATTTTTTTTTAATAAGGACCTTTTACATTTATGATATACAACAAATCTAGTGTCATGCCTTTTTTTTTAGATTTATTTATTTTTATTGGAAAGGCAGATATACAGAGAGAAGGAGAGACAGAGAGGAAGATCTTCCCTCCGATGATTCACTCCCCAAGTGAGCGCAACAGCCAGAGCTGCGCCGATCTGAAGCCAGGAGCCAGGAGCTCTCCTCCAGGTCTCCCACACGGGTGCAGGGTCCCAAGGCTTTGGGCCGTCCTCCACTGCTTTCCCAGTCCACAGGCAGGGAGCTGGATGTGAAGCGGAGCCTCCAGGATTAGAACCAGCGCCCATATGGGATCCCAGTGCGTTCAAGGCGAGGACTTTAACCGCTACACCATCGCACCGGGCCCTTCAGTATTTTATTTTTTTGATTTTATTTGAAAGGGAGCTGGGATATCACATCTGTTGATTTCCCCGTGGCCAGAGCTCACCGCCATCTCCCTGTGGGTGCAGGGACCACCTGCTCCCCGGGGCTCGGTGGCAGGAAGCTGCAGCCAGGAGTGCAGACAGGGTGCCAGTGCGGTGCTAAGCACCCTGACCCGTGCCAAACGCCGGCCCCAGTGAGCAGCTTTACAAAAACAGCACGGGGGAGGGGGGAGCAGCAGGTGGCTGGCACCATGGCACAACAGCGTGTGGGCATCCCACGTCAGTGCTGGGAGAGCAGTGGCGCACGGCCCAAGTGCCAGGGTCCCTCACCCACACGGGAGCCCAGGCCCGGCTTTGGGCAGGCCTTTGTGGCCACCGGGGAGTGAGGTAGCAGGTGGAAAAGCTCCGCCCCATCTAGAACGCTCTGCAACAAGCACATGTTACACAGCACGACAGGCAGGCTGCAGCTCTGGCTTCCTGGCCGCGCGCCAGGCGCCACACACGCTCTTCCAGACACGGGCGCTGGCACGGGAGCGCCACGCCACAGGAACAGGGCAGCCAGGCCGCCAATCCCGGCCTGCACTAAGCGGCAACGCGCGGGCCCGGGGCAGCCGACAGGGCCGCTGCACACACCACTGTGTGCAAGGCTCCAGGGCAGGCCATGCCACGAAACCTGCGCGACCACGGGACGGAGGCCCAGGCCCCAGGCCTTCGTCACACGGGAAGGGCAGTGGTGAGGGGCACGCGGGCACACGGACACCAGCAAATGCACACGCACCACAGCTGTACACACACCACAGCTGTACACACAGGTATACACGCACACACCTGCACACACACCACAGCTGTACACACGTGTATACACGCACACACCTGCACACACAGCTGTACACACGTGTATACACACACACCACAGCTGTACACACGTGTATACACGCACACACCTGCACACACACAGCTGTACACACGTGTATACACGCACACACCTGCACACACCACAGCTGTACACACGTGTATACACGCACACACCTGCACACACACCACAGCTGTACACACAGGTATACACGCACACACACAGCACAGCTGTACACACGTGTATACACGCACACACCTGCACACACACAGCTGTACACACGTGTATACACGCACACACCTGCACACACACCACAGCTGTACACACGTGTATACACACACACACACCACAGCTGTACACACGTGTATACACGCACACACCTGCACACACACCACAGCTGTACACACGTGTATACACACACACACCACAGCTGTACACACGTGTATACACACACACACACCACAGCTGTACACACGTGTATACACGCACACACCTGCACACACACCACAGCTGTACACACACAGGTATACACGCACACACCACAGCTGTACACACGTGTATACACGCACACACCTGCACACACACCACAGCTGTACACACAGGTATACACGCACACACACACCACAGCTGTACACACGTGTATACATGCACACACACCACAGCTGTACACACGTGTATACACGCACACACCTGCACACACACCACAGCTGTACACACACAGGTATACACGCACACACCTGCGCACACACACCACAGCTGTACACACCCCACACCTGCACACACACCACAGCTGTACACACCCCACACCTGCACACACACATACACACAGACCCACACTTGCATGTGCACACATACACACATTCAAAGGCTCCATGGCTGACCCGGAAGACCACCTCCCTAGCTGACTTCCACTGCTGGCAGGGCACCCCTGTGGAGAGCACATGCTTCCCTCCCACGCCCTCACATGACGGACAGGCCCCAGGGAATGGCCACAAGCCTGGGGGACTACCCACTCAGGCCCAGCTGTCGGACGGACCCGCTCCCAGTGCTGGGCTATGGGCCCCAGACACGAGCCACCCTATATACCAGGCCTGCCACCCCAGCAGGTGGCAGCACTTCACGACCCCAGGCCCCACGTGGCAGCCGACCCACCGGGGCAGAGGCAGGAAAGCAGCTGAGGCCCCGGGGAGGTGTCTGCGCCTCGCTGGACACCAGGAGGTCACAGCAGAGGCCCTTGAAGACCAGGGTGGCAGGCGGCCAGTGGAGGCTCCTGGGTGCCCTGTGCTGGCAGGCATACTCGGCCTGCAGGAGCTGTGGCACCACCCGGAGACCACACAACCCGGTGGCATCCCCAGACACCTGGAGTGGCACTTGGGCACCCAGCTCAGAGGGAGCCAGGCCAGGCCTCTCACGACACCGGCCCTTCCTGGCACCCGAGAAGGGAAGAGTCCTGGAGGGCGCCCAGGCGCACACAGCTGCCAGCTGAGCGTGTATCCCAGGATTCACTTGCACCCCCACCAGCCCTGCCTGGTAGGATGGGGACCACTGGCCCCAGATCACTGGGCCTGCACATCCCACAGACAATTACACGTGGCGTGGACAGCAGGCACAACCCCTCTCCCCAGGACACAGCCCCACGCCAGGCCTGGCACCAGCCGCCCCCGCCAGGACAAGCCAGGGAGGTGGGGACAGTGGCTGGCCAAGACCTGGGCCATGTGTTAGTTGGAGATAATGGGAGACCTGACCCGCCCAGTGGTGCTGTGAGCTGACCCAGCAACGCTGCGGGTCACCCCACACCACACCAAGGGTCACACAACAGGTGCACAGCAGGGGTGGGGCACTCAGGGACAGGCACCCAAGGCGACACTCAAGCAGACACCGGAGACTTGTGGCACAGGGCCCAGCGGCGGCCTGTCCGCTCCGCAGAGCACAACCGACCCAGGCTACAGGTGGACGGTGACCCCACGTCGCGGAGGCCAGCACGGAGCCCCGCCACAAGGAGAAACAAGGCCGAAATGCGAGCCCGCCCACCTGCTGGGTGACCCCGCCCACCTGCTGGGTGACCCCTACCCAGAGCCTGGGGCAGGGAGCCTCTCCACTCCGCCAACACTAACAATGAAGACTTTCACAAAAGAATCGCCAGCATGGATGTGCGGCGGATGTGCAGCAGCGGCTGTGCCCGAGGGGCCCCGTCACACCCTGGCAGTCTCGGGGCGCCAAGCTGACCCCGCCTGGAGGGGGTCGCGGTCGGATGTTGGTCACACTGTTTTCATTAGTCGCGTTGGCTTTATCTGAAAGCTACGACAGGGACACAGGGACGCAGGAGGCCCTGCCCGGGCCGGCTCACGGCCCAGCGTCGGTGGATGTGGTGGCGGGGTCAGCCCCGGCCCCCCACGCACCTGCAGCACCCCGGGACCTGCTGGGGTCTGTGTGATGGGTGTGGAAGACAGGAAGGTGTGAAGAGTATCGTTCCTTTGCAGGCAAGGCCACAAGGAACTTCCCACTGCATGGCAGGGCCCGGCGGATGTCTCTACGACACCTGAACGCAGCTCCGCCTCCCTTTGCATGGACACCGGACAACCCCGCTGAGTATTCTGTAATCTATTTAGGCATTGTCTGCCTCTGCGGAGTTACTGCTAAATATCAGCAGGAGCTTAGAAGCTGATGTTGCTCTTGCCATTTTTAGCCAAAAAACTATTATTGCTGTTACGGCTGCATCCTGTGACAATATGCTAATCAAGGGTGCTAACTCCCCTTTTGATCCTATGCTAATCAAGGGTGCTCTGTCTTCAGGTGTAGTGGGAATCTATTCTTTCCCTCTTTCTTTGATCTTTTAGGTCCCTTCCTTCCTTGACTGTCTCAAGACCAAGCTGTAGAGTAATTGTGTGTTAGTGATTGATATGCACCATCTATTGAGAACTTTTTCCCAGCCAGGCGCCAGGTGCCAGGCACCAGGTGGTTAACATCCTAACCTTAGGTGAAACAAATGGCAGAGTTATCTTTAGAAACACCCACTTGACCATGACGTAAAGAGTCTGAGCCAGAGTTTGACTGATTCTGTATAAATAAAGCGGACAGCTTTGTGCGTGGTCCATTATGACGATGAAGTCCTAGTGGTCCGTCTCTTTCTTTGCGCCTCATCCACCACCCTTCGCGAGTTCCGAACTCAGTTGGGGCTGGACTCCGGCAGGGACCTGGTGCCCACGCCCCAGCGCCCGCCTGACCCCGGCCCCCATGCACCTGCAGCACCCCGGGACCGGGTGCCCATGCCCCCGCCTGTCCGCGGCTCAGCAGGTGTCGGGTTCCCCTGGCTGTGCGGCCAGCCTGACCATGCCAGCTGACCTCCCGGGGCAGGGGGGCGACCAAGGCCCCGGAGCCAGGGTGCATGCAGCCCTGCCCCCAGCCCGCCTCAGCCTGCTTCGCCCACCCGTGCCTCCTCGCAGGTCCCGGAGCCAGCGATCTGTAGGGCACAAGTGACCTGTGCCAGGCGCCCCTACACCTGCCAGACGGCAGGCTCGGCCCCTGGGGAGACCCCGCAGCAAGCCAGCCCCAAGCGGCCAGGGCCTCCAGCTCCCGCGCCGCGCCCCGCAGCCGGCCCCGCGCCCCGACCCTGCACCCCGCGCCCCGACCCTGCACCCCACAGCCCCGACCCTGCACCCCACATCCCGCAGCCCAGCCCCGTGCCCCTACCCTGCACCCCGCAGCCGGCCCCGCGCCCCGACCCTGCACCCCGCACCCCCCACCCCGGCCCCGTGCCCCGACCCTGCACTCCGCAGCCCCGACCCTGCACCCCACATCCCGCAGCCGGCCCCGCGCCCCGACCCTGCACCCCACATCCCGCAGCCCGGCCCCACGAGGGACACAGGCTGGACGCCGGTCGGGACGGGGGCCGACGCGGGGCTGGGATCTGCAGGCGGGGTCAGGGCCGGCGAGTGGGGTTGACAGGTGAGGGGTCAGTAGGTGTGGGGTCGGCGGGTGGGCGCGGGGCGGCAGGTCAGGGTCGGCGGGGTCAGCGGGTGAGAGGTCGCCGGGTGAGGGGTCGCAGGTGGGGTTGACAGGTGAGGGGTCAGTAGGTGAGGGGTCCGGGTGGGGGGTCGGCGGGCGAGGGGTCGGCGGGTGGGCGCGGGGCGGCCCGGCCTTACGTGTTTGAGGCAGCGCTCCTTGAGCCGCTCCACCGACATGTCCTCGGCCGCCTCCTCCAGCCACTCGGCGCCGTCGGCCGCGCAGATGTGCAGCCGCAGGACCCTGCCCGCGAAGATCTTGTCCTCCTGGACGAACATCGCGCCGCCGCCCCGGCCTGAAGGTCAGCGCGCCGGGAGGCCCGGGGCGGGGCCTGCTGCTCGCGCTCGGCCGCCCCGCCGCCCCGGCAGCCGCCGCGCCGCCGCGCAGGAAGTGCGTCACGCGGCGCGCAGGGCCCGGGGCGCGCCGGGAGATGTAGTTCTCTGCCCCCGGCCCGGGCACCTGCTGGGCTCGGTGCCCATGGCCAGCCCGGAGCCGCTTGGGCCGCTGAGGTGGCTCTGAGGTCGAATAGACTCGGTCTGAGACGTAACGGGAAAGAGGGCTCCCAAAAACCCAGGACGTGGTTTTAGATAACATGTTGAAATTGCGTTTCGGGTGTCTTAGATAAAATTAAAATGTAAGCTCTTCCCCCACTTTTTTTTTTTTTTTTAAGACATGGATACTACAGGTTCTGGTGCGGTGGCTCGGCAAGCTAATTCCCCTCCCTGTGGTGCCAGCAGCCCACTTGGTGATTCAAGTGTAACCTGCTCCACTGGGATCCTGTATGGACCCCGGCTCTAACCCCGACATCCCCACTTTCCATCCAGCTCCCGGCTGTGGCCTGGGAGGGCAGCGGACGACGGCCCAAAGCCTGGGGACCCTGCACCCGCGGGGGAGACCTGGAGGAAGCTCCTGGCTCTTGGCTTCGGGTGAGGTCAGTTCCAGCCATTGTTACTGCTTGGGGAGTGAATCAGCAGACAGAATATCTTCCTATGTGTTTATCTGCCTTTCCAATAAAAAATAAATAAATATTTTTTAAAAAGAAAGAAAGAAGAAAAGAAAAGAAAAGAAAAGAAAAGAAAAGAAAAGGAAAGAAAAGAAAAGAAAAGAAAAGAAAAGAAGGGGCCTCCCACCTGACTCCTTCACCCTGGAAGCCCCCACAGGGCAGGGGTGAGCAGGGTGCACGGCCCCTCCAGCAGGTGTGGCCCCGGTGTACCCCAAGTCCGGTCCTGGGCTCGTGTTTACCCAGCCCCACCACACACCAGGTGCGGCTGCTGCGTGTGGAAAGGCAGACAGGGCCCGGCTGCCCCCGCGGGGGTTGAGGGCAACCCTGGCTCAGATGGCTCTCAGCTCAGGCCACGTCACGCAGAGAGGAGCTCACAGGGGTCCCCTAGGGCGAGGGTGCCCAGCACGGCCCAGGCCCGTGCACCAGCCTGAAGCCCTGGGGTCACACTGCAGAGCGTGCCGTGGGCTGTCCACAGCGCGCAGCAGGCCACCCTCCCAGGCAGGGGAGAGGCTGGGGACAGGCTGGGGACAGGCTAGGGCGGGGGACAGGTGGGGGACAGGCTGGGGCGGGCGACACTGTCCCAAACCCAGGGATGTGAGTCCTCAGGGCAGCCACTAGAGGGCAGGGGCGAACTGCCGTGCTGCCCCGGGTGGGCACAGGCGTGTGTGTGTGTGTGTGTGTGTGTGTGTGTGTGTGTGTGTGTGTGTGTGTGTGTGAGAGAGAGAGAGAGAGAGAGAGAGACCCGGTGTGTCTACATGTGTGTGAGGTGTCTTGGGCCCTGGGGGGAGCCAGGCATCTCCAGCTGTGGGCCACAATTCCAAGCTGCAGGGGCTCTGGGCACCAGGCAGGGGTCTGGGGGCTCGGCCAAGAGTGCAGGGGCAGGCTTCTCTGGACAGCAGGGTGCCCAGTGGAGCAGGGGTGTAGATGCTGAGCCTTCCCGGCCCCCAGGTTCCTATAGGTGCACTGTGGACACCCAGTCTGGGAGGCACAGCCCCGCAGGGGATACACAGGGCAGGGAAAGGAGAGGGTCCCTGTGCCCCGTGCCCCTGAGCAGGGCATGCCAAGCGCTCAGCGTCTGCTCTCGAGCACGCAGTGGAAGGCCCGGGGCAGAGGGCCCTGCACGGAGCAGGCACGTCCAGCTGCAGTGGTCCTTGGCCTCGGGTTGTACCATCACCCCTGCCACCTCCATGCCCGCCATTGCCTCTGTTTCCCTGCCTCCTCCATGGGGACCACAGTACCCGAGGCGGGGCCCACCCCAAATCCAGGAGGCCCCTTCCCGAGCTCCATCTCTGAGCAAGGCCACACTAGGGGCTGCAGCTGGCCGCACTCCACTCGGCCTCCTGGTGTGTCTTAGGCCCCCAGCCTTCCACAGACACTGGGCACACGGTCCCCCCAGCGGGGCCAGCCCCGTCCTCGCGCCCCTGATCCAAGGTGCCTGGCCAGGGGCGGGGACAGGAGCCGGGCAGGTGGGGGAGGTGGGGTGTTGGGAAGCCGGGCGCTGCGGGTGACCCCAAGGTTAATTAATTAACGCGTTAGGGATGCGTGCCTCGCAGGCCGCCAACAGCCGGGATGAAGCGCCAGGGCGTCTGCCAGCCACGGGGCTCCCAGGCCCACACTGCTGACTGTGCCGAACCGCCTCCCCGCCGAGCCACAGCTCATGAATATTCCACACGGCAATCTGCTTCCCAAAAGCACAGGCTTATTATTTCATTTTTAAGTTGGCTGTCATGAATAGTAATTTTCCAGCTCCGATTATAATGAGCCAGCAGTGACCACTCATACTGTGGTCAGCTCGTGACCGGGAACCTGCGGGCACGGAGCCGGACTCGGAGAGAGACGTGGGTCTGCGGGAGGAGCCGGGCACACAGTCAGCCTGCGGGAGGGCTCAGCACATTGTCAGCCCGTGGGAGGAGCCTGGCACACAGGCAGCCTGCAGGAAGGGCCGGCACACAGTCAGCCCGCGGGAGGAGCCGGGCACACAGTCAGCCTGCGGGAGGGCTCAGCACATTGTCAGCCCACAGAAGTAGCCTGGCACACAGCCTGCAGGAGGAGCCGGGCACACAGTCAGCCTGCGGGAGGAGCCCGGCACACAGTCAGCCTGCAGGAAGGGCCGGCACACAGGCAGCCCGCGGGAGGAGCCCGGCACACAGTCAGCCTGCAGGAAGGGCCGGCACACAGTCAGCCCGCGGGAGGAGCCCGGCACACAGGCAGCCCATGGGAGGAGCCCGGCACACAGGCAGCCAGCCCGCAGAGGACGCCCAGGGCCTTGGGACCTGCAACGCGTGGGAGACCCGGAGGGCGCCCACCGCTGGCGCACTCATCTGGGAGCGAACCAGAGGATGGAAGATTCTCTACGTTGACAGCAAAGGGTGCAGTCGACTGTGAGCGCCCTGTGAGCGCAGGGTTAGGGGAGCAGGGCAAGGCGACCCCAGGACCCCCGCCCCACGGGAGGCTTGTGGGGAGTGATGGGCGGGCGGAGACGGAGGGCCGGGGCGGGGCCTCGGGGTCTGCAGCCTGGTCAGCAGGTGGGCACCCCATGAGCTCACGCCTGCCCGGCGCCCAACGGCCCTGGAGGGCGCAGAAGCGCCGCAGTCTGCCGGCCTCGCGCAGGAAGCCCGCGGCCCCGTTTCTGGGAACACAAGAGACGTTTCAGCCACTTCCTTGCTGAATATTTCATGATTTACGTTAATGGCTTTCTGGTGTTTCTCATAACAAAACGGCCCACATGATGACAGATTCTGGCCACGCTGGTTCTGAGCCCCTAGCCTGCCCCCGCCGTTGTCCTTGGTGCTCAGCCCCTGCCGGACTGTCCCCTGCCTGATCTGCAGGGTGGGTGGGATGCGGCCTAGGGTCTGGGAGCCCTCACAGGGTCTCCCCCAGGGTCAGCTCACCCCACAGACACATGAGCTGAATTCCAGTCAGACCCACCCGTGAACCTCCCCAGCAGGGCCTTGCGAGGCGTGGCACCCCAAAAGGGGCTCTTGGCCGGCCAAGTGAGGCCCCGGCAGCGTTAGGAGACCCCGCCCGCAGCCAGAGCCCCCTCAGCAGCCCCACCTGGGGGATCAGAGTCTGGGGAGCCATTCGGGCAGGGGCAGAAGCTGCCAGCTCCCTCTGGTCCCTCAAGCCAGGCCTCAGCAGGAACAGCGGGAGGCCAACCCATGCCCAGGGCAGGGGTGCAGGATGCCCAGGCAGAGGGGCTGCAGGGGGCAGTGTGGGCACAGCTCCCCTCACCAGACACTGATGATGACCCGACCCCCTCTCCCTAGATGTGGCGCTGGCACAGGGGCACCATGTAATGATTGGTGACAGGATCTGACATGGGCACCCACGTGGCTCCTGCTGGGCACTGCTGTGTCTGCAGGCCAGCCTATGGTCCACTCTAGGAACACTAAGACCCCCAGCCCGGGTGACTGCTTAGCTTAGCCTGCAAGGGGGGCATGAAGGCCCACAGCATTCCAGGCCCAGAAACTACTGAGGTTGGAACACCCACACCTCCATGTGCACCCCAGGGGCCCCACTCTGCCCTCACCTATGCCCCTTGGGCCTGTGTGGCCGTGCACGGGGTGCAGGTCTGCCTGACCGCTGTCCAGCTGCTGCGTTCCTAGGCCCATGGGACACTCACCCTGCCCTCTCCCTGACCACCCCGCAGTGGCTCCTGGCTGGAGTGTGTCCAGCTGTGTGACCCTGCCTGTGGCCTGACCCACACCTGCTCCAGCTGGGGACACGGGGCACTGCCCTCGGTGCAGGCCCTGTCCATGCAGAGGGCAGCCAGAGGCGGGGCACACTGAGGTCAAAGTCGCCGTATCATCCAGGGCGCACGTGTTGTGTGACAGAAAGTTGTCTGCTGTGTGCAGCTGCTCCTGAGAGATGCCAACCACCACCCCTCCACCGGTGCACACGAACATATCCACACAGGAACACGCATGCAGAGCCACACGTGCACACACGTGTCTGTGCCCTGTGTGGGTCTTCTGGGTCTCCCCAGAGCCCCCAGGGTTCTGGTAAAGACCCTGGGAGCAGCCCCTCCCCCAGGCTCTGGCTGCAGGTGGGGGACCTGTGTCCCCTGCCAGAGTCCCCAGGCCCCTGCCTCGGGCCCCGGGAAGAGCAATTCAACCTCTCCCAAGGACAGGGCTGAGGAGACACTTAATTACCAAGCGCACTATTATTCATTTTAAATCGTGCTGCCAGTCCCCAGGGAGAGGCCAGGAAGTCGCCCGGGGCTCGCAGGGGCTGGGTACGGCAGGTGTGGGAGGCAAAGCTGGCCTGAGGGGGAGGTGGGGCGGGGCTGCCGCAGGGTCCATGGCCCACAGGGGCTGGTGTGGCCGTGCCAGCCTGT